TGTGTGTGTGTGTGTGTGGTGTGATAATGGATTTGGACCATCAGTGGTGATGTAGTACAATAGTTAAATGCTTTGAAAGAACCGCCCTGTACTTATGTGTTTGATGATGGGTTGTTGACATGAAATGCTTTTGGGAAGTGATGTGATTTGGTGTGACATACTGTAGTTCTATTTTAACAGCATTTTGCTAACTCTTTTATAGCCTAGTTATTATGAATGCAGATTTTATTAATCGAAAGATATAGGCCTATTTTTTAATTTTAAAGATCTTATGCTCACAAAGCCTACATTTATTTGATCAAAAATACAGTGTAAACCATAATATTGTAAAATATTATCACTGTTACTTACTTTTTTAATATATTTTGAAATGTAATTTATTAATGTGATGGCAAACCTACATTTTCAGCAGCCATTACTTCAAACTTCTGTGTAACATGATCCTTCATAAATCATTGTAATGTGCTGATTTGTTATTTTTTAAAACAGTTGTGCTGCTTAATATTTTTGTGGAAATTGTGGTACTTTTTTCATGATTCTTTGATGAATAGAAACTTTAAAAGAACAGTATTTATTTGCCCAACTCAATCCGAGCAGCTGAGTCCTTAGCCATCTTCAAGAATTGGCTAAAAACACATCTATTCCATCTTTATTTTATTTATTTATTTATTTATTTAGTATAAATAACAAATACAAATAATACAAATCAAATGACTGTAGTTTATCAGTAATCCTAAAAAATAATACTTCCAAACACGCATGCTAAAAAAACAACAACTTACTTACACATAGTAAGAAATGGTTATAAAAAAAAACTGAAACAGAAGCGAAACAAGTAATAGGAAATAGGAGAAAATGATATTATTTGACCCTCTAACTCTAGCACTATCTATTCTAATTCTATTCTTTAAAAAAATTTGTAAGTCGCTTTGGATAAAAGCATCTGCTAAATGACTAAATGTAAATGTAAATAGAAATCGTTTGTAACATTATAAATATCTTTACTATCACTTTTAATCAATTTAACTCAACATTGCTGAATAAAAGTATTAAAAAAACATATCGACCCTAAACATTTGTAGTGTAGGCTTGTTAGAATTGATAGTTTTAATTTTGTCTCTAGTTCTAGTTTGTTTCTTTACTTTTGTTTCTAGAATTTACTGTGTAAAAATTGGTCTCTGAGCTTGAAATTTTTATGCTTAGCTAAAATTGGAAGAGGACATATCTAATATGCATTTTTTTACGACTTTAAATCTATGTATATGACCCTGCAATCAAGCCATAATCATATTTCAACTACCCATAGGACCAACTGTGATTGACTAAATGTGAATTATGAGTAGGCTATCGATGTGAATTATAATGCTCTGCAATGAAATGTGTCCTTTTCAACCTGCTTAAACAACCTGATTTCTAGCTCTTGAAAATTTAGTGTTGTTGGATGACATTGAGAAAAAAACTGGTGAGTGGTTACCATGGTAACCTTTATTTAATTAATCATAACAGTAATTGTGAACATAAATTGCATTACATTTCCTATATATGAAGGTGGCTTCTTTTTTTATTTCTTCTTCTTTTTTTTTTAAACAAATGTGCCACTGCAGCTCTCAGTCATGTTCTAGCTCCTGACATATTTTGACAAATTCACCTGAAACTGAAATGCAGTGGAAACTTTTGAATACAGTAGTTCACATGATAGCCAAAAATTGTCAAGTATAGTGAGAATATTGTCATAACCATTCCAGGACAAGTTCAGGAAAAGTCATCCGGCAAAACAACAACAACATGCACTCAGTCAGTAAACACAGACTGGATTTATTCCCCTGAAACTCTTTTCTTTCTTCCTTGCATTCTTTCTTTTCTCACATTCACCTGTGTTGTATGAATATTGCACACTTTTGCTTGTCCCAACCAACCAACAAACACAACATTCTCACTCTTTTGGAGTAAAACAATATACTTCTTTAATAAATTAAATATCCCAAAAGCTTTATTTAAGAGTTTTGGGAGCTAGAACATGATGATAAAACCTTTTTAGACAGTTTTAAAGCAGAGGAACTGGCTGCTAAATATTTCACACCACTACCTCTATTCTGAGTGTGGAGCAGTTTGTAAGGGTAGACATGCAGAGAAATGCTAGTGTGTCTTTAAGTGTCGAGAGAATACATATTCCCCAGCTCTTTCTCTCTCTCTCACACACACACACACACACACACACACACTTATGCACAGCTCCAGCTCTCTTCCTTGTGTGGCAGCTTTCAGAACTACTCTGGGACTCCACAACATTTGAATTCAAAATAGATAACAAGACAAAGGAAATGGAGGGTGCATCTGCCTAATTGGGCCCTATGTGGTGACAGCATGAACCTGACACTTTTCCCACAACTCTCATGTGGATGAGACACGGGCGATGATGCGCATCCCTTTGTAACATCAGCTACACACACGCGTGTGCGCACCGACATTGACGCAGTCGGTCTCAGTGTAATTACACTGTTCAGCTCCTAATCCTGTGTCTTAAAACCCTACACAAGTCACTCTCTCTCTCTTCACTCTTTCCCTTCAGACAGTAGTCGAGGCTTGAATAGAGTTTAGAAAATAATAACACGCGAGCTTAACTGCGGAGTCTGTCAAGTGAGGGAAATAATATTTGTCCAGCTGGACAACCTTTGCCGTTGTGTGGGCTAAATTAATGTTGAGATTTCTGTCTGCGCGAGGAGAAAGGGCTGTCGTGTCGGAGAGGAAGTGCGAGCTGTTTGGTGTTTGACAGGGATTATTAAAATCAGCCCAGATGAAGGGGAGAGGGGCGCCAGCAAAGCCAAATTGACACTGACACTCTCCATTACACTCCACTTGACTTGCGATGACGACGTTGATACAGTCTCTCTAGCGCGTGCTGGATCTGTGTGAGACTTGAACGTTGAGGGCTTTACAGCAATCTGAGGCCAGATGGATTGTTTATTTAAAGCGATGGCAAGAAGTTGTGTCAGTCTATATCTCGCTGGCGTCTGGTAATACCGCAAGGCCGCTCTTTCCGATATGCATGTATTACCACTGAGCTGTACTGTAAATTGAATGGCACTCCAGCTTGACACAGAGAGGGGAGGCGGATAGATGAAAAGCAATGGATTGAGGCTAGAAATATTTATGGCAGATGATAACTAGCGCCTTGTTCCAGCTGCGCTTTGACGCGCAAAGATCGTGTTGGAGGTGAAATCAAATCATTTCGTGTAAAGGGCCGTCATGTGTGTTCGAGGACACGTTTCATCAAACATAAAGGCTTCCCTTTTCAAGCTTACATTTGATCCCATTCAGACAAATGCAGTACACAAGCAGACATTGATTATTTCTTTCCACTTCTTTTCATTTTACTGGCAATGGCTGTCCACAAAGTAGGTTATGGTGCCCACAATAGGTGTGAAATGGAGCTGTATAGAGATAATTTGCTGCAGAAGAAACTCTTCTGTACTTTTGTTCATTTCGCCATGATTTGCCAGATCTCACAAAAAAAAAAGCCCAACTTTCCTTACCTAAAAGTCCCTTATCCTTTTATTTTGGGGTGGGTTTATGAATTGAGAATTATGAAATGAGAGAAACTTCCATATAAAAAAATAAATAAATACTGATTATATGAAAAAAGGTCGGTAATGAATAAATCTCTTTGGCATCTTTTGGCAAAAAAAAAAAAATGTATTCAGGAATCATTGGAGTGTGGAATGTCCTGGAAAAACTGAAACCTGGGGCAAAATGTGTCACTTTATTATGCTAAAGAACCCAAGTGTTAGCAATCCCAAAGATGCAACTAGGGCTGCACGATTAATCGAATGCGATTGTCATGCGCAATTTGTTAGTAATGCCGGTTCTGTAATCAACAGGAAATCATCATCACGTGCTTTCAGA